TTTGTAAGTTACGTGGAACAATCCCTCTTCCGTACCTACACTGGCCCTAAACCCCACCTCTTCCTCCGTTACATTGATGACTGTATCGGTGCCGCCTCGTGCTCCCACGAGGAGCTCAAACAGTGCATCCACTTCACCAACACCTTCCACCACAATCTTAAGTTCACCTGGACCATTCCTAATACCTCTCTCTCCTTCCTGGACCTCTCTGTCTCCATCTCCAGCAACCACCTAGAAACCGATATCCATCTCAAGCCCACTGACTCCCATAGCTACCTAGAATACACCTCCTCCCACCCATCTTCCTGCAAAAATGCCATCCCCTATTCCCAATTCCTTTGCCTCCGCCGCATTTGCTCCCAGGATGAGGCATTCCACTCCCGTACATCTCAGGTGTCCTCGTTTTTCAAGGACCGCAACTTACCCCACTCAGTGGTCGAGAACACCCTCGACCGTGTCTCCCGCATTTCCCGCAACTCATCCCTCACACCCCCTCCCCGCAAAAACAACCAAAACAGAATCCCTCTCGTCCTCACGTACCACCCCACCAACCTCCGGATCCAACGTATCATCCTCCGACACTTCCGCCATCTGCAATCCGACCCCACCACCAAAGACATTTTTCCCTCCCCACTCTTATCTGCTTTCCGGAGGGACCACTCTCTCCGTGACTCCCTTGTCCGCTCCACACTCCCCTCCAGCCCCACCTCACCCGGCACTTTTCCCTGCAACCGCAGAAAGTGCTGCACCTGCCCCTATGCCTCCCCCCTCACCCCCATCCCAGGCCCCAAGAAGACTTTCCACATCAAGCAGATGTTCACCTGCACATCTGCTAATGTGGTATACTGCATCCGCTGTTCCCGTTGTGGCCTCCTCTACATCGGGGAAACCAAGTGGAGGCCTGGGGACCGCTTTGCAGAACACCTACGCTCGGTTCGCACTAAACAACTGCACCTCCCAGTCGTGAACCACTTCAACTCCCCCTCCCATTCCGCAGACGACATGTCCATCCTGGGCCTCCTGCAGTGCCACAACGATGCTACCCGAAGGTTGCAGGAACAGCAACTCATATTCCGCTTGGGAACCCTGCAGCCCAATGGTATCAATGTGGACTTCACAAGCTTCAAAATCTCCCCTCCCCCTACCGCATCCCAAAACCAGCCCAGCTCATCCCCGCCTCCCTAACCTGTCCTTCCTCCCACCTATCCCCTCCTCCCACCTCAAGCCCCATCCCCTACCTACTACCTACTAACCTCATCCCATCCCCTTGACCTGTCCGTCCTCCCTGGACTGACCTATCTCTTCCCTACCTCCCCACCTACACTAACCTTTACTGGCTCCATCCCCGCCTCCTTGACCTGTCTGTCTCCTCTCCACCTATCTTCTCCTCTATCCATCTTCTATCCACCTCCCCCTCTCTCCCTACTTATTTCAGAACCCCCTTCCCCTCCCCCATTTCTGAAGAAGGGTCTCGGCCCGCAATGTCAGCCTTCCTGCTCCTCTGATGCTGCTTGGCCTGCTGTGTTCATCCAGCTCTACACCTTGTTATCTCAAGTGTTCTAATCTGTTCATATATACTATTCCTTAGGTGGTCATATATGCCAATGGTTATTTAGGTCCCCTGTGACCCAGCATCATGTCTGTTGTGTCACGTTTCCTGATAATGACCATTGTTTGGACAATTACAGTCAATGGAGATGCTCTCACGCCGTTGGAAGAAAAGAGTGAGTGATTTCAACTTTTTTTTTTGGAATTTAACTTATTTCATACACTGATATTGATTTCCTGAACCAGGGCAGGAGAGGACATTCTCAGATTTTCTGCTGTTTTACTGTTTAAGATACAGTTTAGCCTCTTTTCCCTTCCCTTCCCTCCCCCATGCATAAGAAACCGAGTCTGTTTGTTTTAACCAAATCGAAAACAAAACCATCCACTCGGGGCAAGAAACCAACTCTTCACTTTGATATCCAATCACCCCTGTGATTGCATAGCAAACACTACCCACCAGCACAGTGTGACACAAACCAAAACACAAGTGGACAGACAGCAGAAACCACCCAATCAAAATGAGGAAATCACATGCTCCAGTCCCCGTGGTGCCTGCCTCTCTCTGAAAATTTTCAGATACCACATGCTCCCTCTCCAAGTACTCACAGGTGTAGATATAGCCAGAATCCCAGCTCAGAAAATGATCAATTCACTCTCTTAACAAGGTCAGAAGTCACATGATACCAAGTTACAGTCCAACAAGTTTATTTGAAATCACAAGCTTTCGGAGCTCTGCTCCTTTGTCTGGTGTCATGTGAGTTCTAACTTTGTCCACCCCCGTCCAATATCGGTACCTCCACATCATGACTCCCATCTAACAAGTAGCAACGATAAATGCTGCCCATGACGGGCCATGTAGCATTAACAAAAATAAAAGAAAGCTAAGGAAACAAGGAAAAGGATTAAATCATAATAGAGTTGGGACAAGAGATTATGCACTTCAGCATCCCCAAGGGGAAACCCAACTCTTTTTAAAAAATATTTTATTCTTTCTACCATAAGCATTATCGCACATCACTGAGCACTCTTCCCACCACCAAAATCACTGTGACTTTTTAAAAAACTTTTCTAACTAATAACCACCACCAAAATCACTGTGACTTTTTTAAAAAAACTTTTCTAACTAATAACCACCACCAAAATCACTGTGACTTTTAAAAAAAAACTTTTCTAACTAATAACCATCACCAAAATCACTGTGACTTTTTAGAAAAGTTTAAAAAGAAACTTTTCTAACTAACAACCACCACCAAAATCACTGTGACTTTTTAAAACAAACTTTTCTAACTAATAATCACCGCCAATATCACTGTGACTTTTTAAAACAAACTTTTCTAACTCATAAACACCACCAAAATCACTGTGACTTTTTTAAAAAAAACTTTTCTAGCAAATTATCACCAGCATTAAAAACACCCATGGAGCCAACTGAGCATTCACAGTAGAAATCTGCTAAATGGCAATGCAAGCTATCAAAGGTGAAGGGGGTGGGGGGGCGTGGACAGGCAGAGTGGCAGGGGATTAGATCAAAATGGAGTTAGAGGGGGAATCAAAACGCTGTATTCCCCATGGTGCCCACCTCTCTCTAAAGGCGTCGAGATGGATGGCACATGCTCCTTCTCCAAGGATACCCGGGTATGAATGTAACCACGGAAACGGGGCAGACAGTCGGCAGAGAAGACTCCTTCCACAACCTGCTGCCTGGTCTTGTGGATGGTTACTTTAGCCAGGCCCGGGATCAGGAGAAATACCCTCCACTTAATCACCCAATCAGCTAACTAAACAATAACCACCGCAGTACACAAATGGCTGTCTAACTCTAACGAGAAGAAAAACGTCGGTGAAAGTGGAGCCAAATCAAAATTTTATATCAAGTAAAATAATTCAAGCCAAAACCCAGCTCTTTTTTTAAAATTTAAATTCTACCGCCAAATCATCCAATTAACTATAGGAATACCAAACGTACAAGCACTGCCCACCAGGGACAGTGTAATAATCACAATAAGAAACGAATGGGGAAAACAAGGGAGGGAAATTAAATCAAAATGGAGTTGGAAGGGGGAATAATGCATCACAGTCCCTCCCCCAATTCCCACTTCATTCTAAAAGCTTAGCAGGCACATCATGCCATGTTAAGAGTGAGTGTTGAACCATCTTCTTGGATCGTTGTAGCCCATGTGGTGTAGGTACAACTGCAGTGCTGTTAGGAAGGGAATTCCGAGGTTTTGACTCAGATGCACGAGAGGGAATTTTGACTAGCAAGATATACAACACATTCTCATCCATGAGAAGCAGAAAGTTTAGATTTCTGTGTTCATTTTAGCAAAACACCAGTGATATTGACTCTCCACTACCAGGCACAAAACTCACCTTATTCTTTTAAGGTAAGCTTATGTTCTATTAGAGCTGCCAACTTGACATTCTTAATACAAAGGGTCCAAGTAAGTCACTCTTCTTCACTGGACAAAATAAACAGGTGAATGAGATTTTCATTTCAAATTATTTCTGATGTCCAACTTCGAATCCAATGCATTATTGAGGCAGTAGGGGAGGCAGTGGCCTAATGGTATTATTGCTGGATGGTTAATCCAGACAGCCAGATAACATTCTGGGGACCCAGATTCAAATCCCGCCATGGCAGACGGTGGAATTTGAATTCAATAAAATATCTGGAATTAAGGATCTAAAGGCGACCACAAATTCATTGTTGATTGTCAGGAAAAACCCATGTGGTCCACTAACATTGTTTAGGAAAGGAAACTGCCATCCATACTGGTCTGGCCTACATGTGACTCCAGACCCACAGCAATGTGATTGACTCTCAACTGCCCTCTGCGCAATTAGGGAATGGGCAAAAAATGCTGCCTAGCCAATGGCACCCTCATCCCATGAATGAACAAAGACCCTTTTTGGGAGCCAAACATAGGGCAAGTTAGGAAGATTGTAAATGTTCCATTTATCAACAATACATCATCCCTTATTTATTCCGTTTGCATTATTTTATAAAGTTAAGGTGAATCCACCCATGGATATTAAATTCACTCCTGGACGGTTAGGAGAGTACATCGTGTCCTGGAGCGGAAACTGCAATTGCACGTATGACAACGTCTATTACATGATTCTCAGCAGTTATCTGGATAAAGAGAATGATAAGGTAGGCTTTATCCAATCTTTGAATCTCCAAAATAGTGTTATTCCATTCTTGAATTTTTGAAATGGTCATATTGAAAGAAATTGGCTTTTTCTGTCCTATAAATTCCTATCTTTCTAAACTGAAAGGTTTGGTGTGGTATATAGCTCATCAATTTCTTTTTTAAAAAAATGTATGCTTTCATTAGATGTGGTCAAGACTAGCTGGGCCAGCATTTATTGTCCATCTGTTGTTGCCCTGCAGAATGTAGTGGTGAGCTATTGTTTTGAACCACCACAGTCCATTTTGGGTAGGTAGAAACTAAGAGTTTCAAGATTTAACAGTGAAGGAGCGGCGATATATTTCCAAGTCAGGATGGCAAGTGGTTTGGGAAGGAACCTGCAGGTGGTGGTGTCCCCATGTATCTGCTGCCCTTGTGCTTCTAGATGATAGAAGCTGTAGGCCCTGAAGGTATTGACTATAAATCCTTGATGTGGAGGTGCCAGTGTTGGACTGGGGTGGACAAGGTCAGAAATGGAAAAGACACCAGGTTATAATGCAACAAGCTTATTTGAAAACACAAGCTTTTGGCGCCTTGCTCCTTCTTTGGGTGTTAGCGTCTTGGTGAATTACTGCCATGCACTTTATAAATGGTACACCCTACTGCTATTGAGTGTCAGCAGTGGAGGAAGTGAATGCTTATTGATGATGCCAATCAAACGGGCTGCTTACTCCTGGATGGTATCAACCTTCTTGAACATTGTTGGAGCTGCACTCATCCAGACAAGTGGAGAGTATTCCATCACATTTCTGACTTGTATCTTGGAGATGATGAACTTTGGGGAGCCAGGAGGTGAGTAACTCATTGCAGTTTTCCTAGCCTCTGGCCTGCTCTTGAGCCACTGTGTTTATATGGCAATTCTAGTTCAGTGTGTGGTCAATGGTAGCCTCCAGGATTTTGACACTGGAAGATTCAGTTATGGCTATGCCGTTGAATATCTTGGGCAATTGTTAAATCCTCTCATGTTGGTCATTGCCTGACACTTATGTAGAACATATTTTAGTTGTCCCTTGTCAGTCCAAACCTGCATATTGTTCAGGTTTTGCTGCATTTTGAGGAAATTTGGCACGTCCACAAAGACTCTTACCAACTTTTATTGATGTACCATAGAAAACATCCTACCTGTATGTATCACAGTGAAGTGTGGCAACTGCTCTTCCCAAGACCACAAGAAACTAGTCCATCATGCAAACCAGCCTTCCATCCATTGACTCCATCTATACTTCCTGCTGCCTCAGGAAAGTAACCACCATAATTAAAGGCCCCTCTCACTCCGGTTATACTCTCTTCCACTCTCTTCCATTGGGCAGAAGTCATAAACGTTTGAATACATGTATGAACAGATTCAAGAACAGCTTCTTCTCTGCTGTTATCAGACCTCTCAAACATTAATTCTGATCGCGCTCTCTGCACCTTCTCTGCAGCTGTAACAGTGTATACTGCACTCTGTTCTGCTACCCTGATGTACTTTGTATAGTATGATATGCTTGTATCGCATGCAAAACAATACTTTTCACTGTATCTCAGTACATTGGGCAAGAATAAATCAATCAATATATCAATCAATGGACTGCTTCAGTATCTGAGGAGTTGTGGATGGTGCTGAACATTGTGAAGTCATCAGTGAACACCCCTACTTCTGACCTTATGATGGAGGGAAGGTCATTAATGAAGCAGCTGAAGATGGTTGAGCCGCAGACATTATCCTGAGGAGCTCCTGCAGAGATATCCTGGAGCTGAGATGATCGACCTCCAACGACCATGAACATTTTCCTATGTGTCAGGTATGACTCTAACTAGCAGAGAATTTACCTCTTGATTCCCATTGACCACAGTTTTGCAAGGGTTCCTTGTTGACATGCTCAGTCAAATGCAATCTTGATGTCAAGGACAGTCATTCTCACCTCACTTTGGGAATTCACCTGCTTTGTCCATGTTTGAACCAAGGTGGAATCTAAAGTGGATGTTATTGAACAGGTTATTGCCAAGGATATCACCATTGATGACACCTTCCAGCACATGATGATTGAGAGTAGACTGATGGGGTGGTAATTGTCTGGGTTAGATTTGTCTTGATTTAATATACAGGACATACTTGGGCAATTTTCTACATTGTTGGGTCGGTGCTAGTCTTGAATAGATTGGCCAAGGGACTGGCAAGTTCTGGAGCACAGCAGGTCAGAAATCTTCTTCAGAAATGGGAGTCCTGACCTGAAATGTCAACTTTCCTGCTCCTCTGTTGCTGCCTGACCTGCTGTGTTCCTCCAGCTCCACACTGTGTTGTCTCTGACTCCAGCATCTACAGTTCTTGCTATCTCCAAGTTCTGGAGCTCATGTCTTTAGTACTATTGCAGGAATGTTGTCACAACCTATAGCCTTTGCAGTATGCAGTGCCCCCAACTTTTCTTGATATTATGTGGAGTGAATTGAATTGGCTGAAGATTGGTACCTGTGCTGGGGTCTACTGTAGGAGGCCAGGATAATGTGCTGGGCTTCCCCATTATTAAGGCTGAGGATATTTGTGGAGCTTCCTCCTCTAGTGAGTTATTTATTGTTCACTACCATTCAAAATTGAATGTGGCAGGACTGCAGAGCTTAGATCTGATCCGTTGCTTGTGGGATCGCTTAGTTCTGCCTATCACTTATTGATTATTTGCCTTTAATAATCTCTTTTTATTTGAATAGTTTCCATTACTACCTTGACTTAAGTACTGATTTTGGCTACTTGACACTGCTATACATCACTGTTGTTCACGCTGCACATGTCAGATGGATAGTAAATGTTGTTCCAGTCAGAGATACCCGCATCTCATGAATGAATAAAAAAAAACTCTCTTCTGTCATTGCCTAAGCCTATCAGCACAGTTGAATATAGGAGTTGGGCTGTCATGCTGATGTCATACAGGATGTTGATGAGACCTCTTCTGGAGTATTGTGTGCAGTTATGGCCACCCTGTTATAAGAAGGATATTATTAAACTGGAGAGAGTCAAAAAAGATGTTGCCGGGAATGGAAGGTTTGAGATATAAAAATTGGCTGGAAAACCTGGGACTTCTTTCACTGGAGCATGGGAGGTTGAGGGGTGACCTTGTACAGGTTTATAAAGTCAAGACGGGTATAGATAAGGTGAATGGCAAAGGTCTTTTGAATATCCCAAAGGGGAAGTGGTGGATGCAGGTACAATTACAATGGTTAAAAGACATTTGGATAAGTTCATAAAGTGGAAAGGTTTAGAGGGGTATGGGCCAAACACAGGTAGGTGGGACTAGTTTAGTTTGTGAACTCAGTTACCATGGATCAGTTGGGCCAAAGGGTCTGTTTCCATGTATGACTCTATGATTGTATGCTGTACTTTATGTCATGCACTTACCTGTCACAAATTGAACTTTGACTTTGCCATCAGTAACTTCCAAGTTATTTTACTTCTGTCAAACTAGTCCACCGAGTCCTTCGTTCAATCGCATGAACAGAATGTAAATATGGAAATCCATCGGGGATTACTTGTTCAAGTGAAACTTTACCAAGATGATGAAAAGGAGATATCTAGCAATTGGACTGAAAGGATTTTTCACCCATCACGTATGTTATTGCTTAACTAATTTGTCATTGTGGATGTTTTTGTGTTGACACTCTTGTTAATTGAAAAGGTTAAAAACAAGTCTCCCATCTCAACCCTGCAATCTATTGCCTACCTCCCTAGACATCCAAGTACAGCCTCTCACTGGGGATAGATCATGCTTCTCACATGTCTCTTAGTGTCAGCTCGGCCAGCACACCATATTTACGCTGCCTCATTTTTACAATTGCCGCAGTAATACAGCCTTGGTGAGATCGCGGTTGGAATACTGGATACAGTTTTGGCCTCCTTATCTGAGGAAGGATATGCTTGCCATAAAAACAAAGGATTGCCAGACTGGTCTCAAGGATGGTGGGGTTGTCATGTGCGGAGACTGGGTGCATAATCTCTTGAATTTGGGAACTCATCTCTTTGAAGCTCCCATCATTTTATTGGCATTAACAGCATAAATGTACTTCGGATGGAGCTGAAACCAAGGCACATAGTCTCAGAAAAAGGTGTAGTTGAGAGGTGGAGGAATTTCTTCACTCAGAGGGTGGTGAGTCTTTGGAATTCTGTTCTCCAGGGTGTTGTCAGAAATTGATAGATTTCAAGATCATAGAATCCCTACAGTACAGATAGAGGTCATTTGGCCTATCAAGTCTACACTGACCCCTCCGAAAAGCATCCCACCCTATTCCCGCACTTGCCATTTTTAACCCACTTAGCCTGCACATTTCTGAATACTACAGGGCAATTTAGCTTGGCCAATCCACCTAAGTTGCACACCTTTGGATTTTGGGAGGAAACCAGAGCACCCCGTGGAAACCCATGCAGACATGGGGAGGACATGCAAACTCCAAACAAATAGTTGCCAAGACTGGAATTGAACTCCAGTCCCTGGCACTGTGAGGCAGCAGAGCTAACCACTGTGCCACTCTACTATATTAGGAGATATTAGGAAATAGCAAAGAATGTGGGGATAATATGGGGAAATGGTGTTGAGATAGAAGATTAGCTAAGATCTAGTTGAATGATGGAGCAGGTTCAATGGGCTGAATAGCTGATTCCTGCATTTTTATTCCAGCATCTCACAACATGGTATCAGATCACTTGATCTAACTTTAACCAGCACCAGCAAAGAAACTGACAAACACTGTTAGAATATTCCTAATGCGCAATGCCAAGATGTGCAAGCAAGATATATAACTATATAACACATTTCATCACCAGTTGACATCTCTCTTCAAGGAATGCCTACCCTAAAGACGTTTTGCTCTTCCCTCTGTTAGGAATTCTGGTCATCTCTTTCACCGTGTCTCCCCCAGCACTCTACACTCCACACCCCTTAACTGTAGCAGAAATGCTAGCCCCTCCACACTTCACATCAACGCTGATGAAGAGGCATCTAGATTCAAAATGTTGGCTGGTTCTCTCTCCATAGATGCTGCCTGACTCATTGTGATCTCTAGCATTTGTTGTTTTCGCTACAGATTCCAGAATCTGCTGTAATTTTCTCCTGACATCCCAAAATGCTTTACAGTTAATAAGATACTTTTTGAAGTGCAGTCTCTGTTGTAATGTATGAAATGTGGCTACCAATTTGCAGACAGAGAATTCCCAGAGACAGCAATGTAGTAATAGCCGCATTCTGTGTTGAGATGTTGATTAACATTTGAAAGGGGGTTGGTTATTTGAGTTAACAAGGTGCAGAGCTGGATGAACACAGCAAGCCAAGCAGCATCAGAGGAGCAGGAAGGCTGACGTTTCAGGCCTAGACCCTTCTTCAGAAAAATCAGAGTTAATGTTTTGGGTCCAGTGACCCTTCTTCAGAACATGCAGAATCACTTATACAGTGCAACACACCCTCAGTATTACACCTTTTTTTGTGCTCAACTCCCAGACTGAGACTTAGAGCCTGCAATCCGAGTTGAGAGCGTTACCAACTGAGTCATGTCCAGTCAAATATTTTTGCAACCAATATCCCTGCCACAGAAAGCCTAAAGACAGTCTTTGCATTGTCTGTATTAATGGGGGAGAAATATCTTTTCTGGAATTTTTAGGAATGGAAATTAAATGTGGGATATTTATTCAGCCATTACCAGAGCATACTTTCACTTTAAGCAAACACGATTTTAGGTTTAATCAGATTCCAGATAGTGATGCCAATCCATTGTGCCACCTTATGACTCTCTCAGGTATCACCATAACCAGGGTCTGTAAGCTGTGATCATTTTGGAAACACCTGGAGTGTTAATAGAGTGAAGGTTTTCTAAGATTACAAAGTAATCTTGATCAAATGGGTCAATGGGTTGAAAAGTGGCAGATGGAGTTCAATTTGGATAGATGCGCTGTATTGCATTTTGGTAAAACAAATGGGGCAGGTCTTATCAATTAATGGTAAGGCTTTGGGAAGTGTTGTAGAACAGAGAGACCTAGGGGTTCAGGTACATTATTCTTTGAAGTTTGTGTCACATATAGACAGGATGGTTAAAAAGGCGTTTAGCACTCTTGCCTTCATTGATCAGACCACTGAGTATAGGAGTTGGGACGTCATGTTGAGGTTGTACAAGTCATTGGTGAGGCCTCTTCTGGGGTATAGTGTCCAGTTCTGGTCGTCCAGTTATAGGAAGGATCTTGTTAAGTGAGAGACGGTTCAGAAGAGTTTTACCAGGATATTGCCAGGTATGGAAGGTTTGTGTTATAAACAAAGGCTGGGACTTTTTTTCACTGGAGAGTAAGAAGTTGAGAGGTGACCTTATAGAGATTTATAAAGTCATGAGGGGTATAGATAGGGTTAATCGTAGGTGTCTTTTCCCTAGAATGCGAGATTTCAAGGAAAGCGTGCATATTTTAAGGTGGGAGAAGAGAGATTTCAAAAAGACATGAGTGTAAATTTTTTTACACAGAAGGTGGTTCGCATGTGGATTGAACTTCCTGAGGAAGTGGTGGATGCGGGCATTGTTGCAACGTTTAAAAGACACTTAGAAAAGTACATGAATATGAAAGGTTTGGAGGGATTTGGCCAGGAGCAGGCAGGTGGGACTAGTTCAGTTTGGGATTACGGTCAGCATGGTCTGGTTGGACCAAAGGGTCTGTTGCTGTGCTGTATGACCCTGTGATTCTATGAGAACAGATATTATGCCAATGTATCCCATCATTTTTGAAACTCCAACATATTATTGTGGGTGCTGAACATGACTTTGCATTGAAACATTTACTCCACAGGAATAATTTTACATTCTATTTCTATTAATTTTGTTCACACAGGTGATGCATTTACCTCAATTGACAATCTCACATGCGTTTTTTATGGAAACACCTATATGAACTGCACTTGGAATATTGCTGAAAGTGCATCCCCGGATGCAGAATACTTTTTGTCCTACAGGTAAGAGACACCTTCCAACTATCTGTTTTATATTGCTGTATGTGTTAAGGTTAGGAACTAAAATGTTATTCGTGGGTGTTTCAGTAGGAAACATTTCAGAGCCATATCCAATGCTAAGCATGTAATATGTAACAAAACCAGTAACAACCACTGTAGGGCAATGTCAACAAGGGGCCTCATCTGTGCAAACAGCCTGCAGCACTAAACAAAATACACTTCTCATTCCTTCAGATTTGAAGTGTCATTGCTTAAAACAAATTCACATAACTTTTTTCACTGGAGCATAGGAGTTTGAGATGACCTTATAGATGTTTATAAAATCATGAAGGGTTAGATAAGGGGAACAGTAGGTGTCTTTTCCCTAGGGTGGGGAATTTCAAGACTAGGGGACATATTTTTAAGGTGAGGGGGGAAAGATTTAAAAAAAGACATGAGGAGTAACTTTTTTACATATAGAGTGATTCGCGTGTGGAATGCACTTCCAGAGGAAGTGGTGGATGCAGGTACAGTTACAATGTTTAACAGGCATTTGGATAAGCTCATGAATAAGAAATGTTTGGAGGGATATGAGCCAGGTGCAGGTAGGTGGGACTAGGTTAGTTTGGGATTATGGTTGGCGTGGACTGGTTGGATTGAAGGGTCTGTTTCCATGCTGAATGGCTCTGTTAAAATACTAGTTGTTTTATTTTTGTTTATCCACCTGTTGTTTCGATAGGATTTTGTATTTTTAAGGCAAAGAAACAGGACATTAAACCCAACCAGTTCATGCCAGTATGTTCAACTTGAACCTATGCCTATCTCTCCTCATCTAAATATAGTCCTCTAAACTCATCTCCCCTATCTGCTTGTTTAGTTGCACCTTACATTCATCGATACCATCTGCCTGTTTCACTCCTTGTGGTAGTAAATGCCACATTCTTGCCATTTCATGAGTAAAGTCATTTCCTCTAAATCCTCACTTGGATTTTTTTGGTGACTATTTTATATTGATAGTCTCTAGAACAGGAAATCTCTCTGAAAAGAATGGAAGAACTGTGGACCCTGGAAATCTGAAACAAAAACAGAAATTGCTGGAAAATCTCAGCAGATTTGGCAACATCTGTAGAGAGAAATCTCTCTGTGCCCATTACTTTAAAGTGTTTCACGATTTCAAATGCAGTTATTAGATCCTGGCCCCAAAAGACATACGTTGCACAACTACGTGTATTTTCAAATCATTTCAGTCTATTAAAATCTCCACTTTGGGTTTACCATTGAATCAGGGATTTTGGGAGGGCTCCCCTTGCTGGAAGGTGAATGGGAGGTTGACGTGACGACAGCTGATGTGAGGACTGAGATGGCAAGGCACAAGCGAAAGCAGTTTATTTATATTTTTTTTCAAATGTCACAGCTGACTGTATTATAATCCTGGAGGACCAACCCCAGAGAGTGAGGAGTGGTCCCATTGAAGTCAATCATCAAATACCACCAATCGCCACGCCTTTCCCAGAGTCTTGGAACTGTTATGGCATAGAAGGAGCCCATTTGGATCACTGTAATTATACTACCTAGTACCAATCTGCTTCCTTTTCCCCACACCCCTGCACACTGGTTCTATCCAAATAATCATCCATTAGCCTCCTGAATGCCTCAATTTAACCTGCCCCCAACACATTTCCAGACTGTGCATTCCATACCAGAACTACTTTTATTTTCTCACATCATCTTTGCTTGATTGCACATCATTTTAAATCTATGCCCTCTCGTTTTTCCCCATTTGCAAGCAGGAACAGCTTCTCTATCCAGGCCCGCTAATGATGTTGAAAACCTCTACGAAAACATTCTTACTCTGAAATCATCACATTGAGTTACACGGTAGTGAGGGGTAATGTAGGCTGCTCCTGGGAAGTTTTTGCCAACGTAATAGACTCTACAATGAACAATAATTGATCTTCAGTAATTCTACAATAATTGATCTGACTTCGAGCTCCCTAGCCACTCACCCCCACCACCAACCACTATTGGAAATAGCTCAGGGTCAGGATTGTGACTACAAATCAGCAAAGAGTACCCCAGTGCTTTAACTGATTTTAAAATTTTGCTTATTGTCTGTCCATCTATTAACCTTCTTTTCACTTGTCCAGCAGCCTCCCTAACTATAGGCCATAGTACAGAGGAATTTATTGCTCAAATGTTATCTTTTCAAGAAATGTAAATGCAGATGATGTGAAGAACTGCACACATTATCAGAGTGATGGACAGAGAAATGTTGCTTGCTATGGACATAAATATGAAGAGGACTTACTCAATGAGGTGAACATTTGCGTTAGCGAATTGAGCAACAGGACAAAATTACCATACTGCAGAAACATTTACCCAGCCAGCTATCGTAAGTCACAATGTCTTTCTTTCCATTCAGAGCTTTTCAAATGTAGATAAATGTGGTTAATCAAGATGCAAGGAATGTTTCTTGTGCCATATGGCCATTAAGCGATGTCCATGACTACAGATGAATATATTGTAGGTTAGCCTTGTTATGGGTAAAGTTACCTTTAATTCCACTACTTATTAAGAAATCTCACAATCAAGTACTGAAGCAATAATTCAATCTTTATTGCATGCAGCAACCAAATATTAAACCGCTGAAGTAATATGTAAAAGCTTGTGACCCAATTTAGCTATTGCCCGATTAATGGTGAAGTTCGGCCAGGACTTCAAGTAGCAGTGATCTGTCCCTGGTGGGAGTCTCCAGGATTTGAATCTTGTACAGTGTCGTTCTTTGAAGTTCTGTTGAAGTGGGCTTCTGGTGTTAAATTCTTACACAAATTTTCATCCTTCAGTCTCTGGGGTGATATTTTGATTATTTCTTTAGACTCTTTCATCCAAATTGCTGCAGCTGGCTTTCTTATCAAAAGCAATTTCTTTGTTTCTGTGTTACATTTGGCATCGACTATCTGATTGAAAAGACACAGCTTTCCTGTGATTAACTTCTTAAATTCTTCTGCAGAGTAGTTAGTTGACCTTTGTGGTAGCTTTCAACACAGCCTTGTTTATGTAATCTCACCAAGACATGGCTAATTGCTTCAGTCTCTGTGTAACATCTTGCCTTCATTCTTGAACAGATTGTTCCACTCAGAGTTAATTGCTGTGTGTAATAGTTTATCTCTTGTTCATTCATTTAGTGAAAAGTCAGCAAAGTTCTGAAGCCTGTAACATCACAGCCAATAAATGAACAAGTATCTTCAGCATTATCAGTAGTACTGCCACTTAGATCAGAGATGAAGACTAATTATTCTGCTTAGAGAATTGTGAATCTTGGAACTGTCTACCCCAGAGGAAGTTCAGACTTTGAGTATGTTTAACATAGAGATTTCTGATTACCCATGGTGTATTGGGTAATGGGGGTGGAATGAGTAAAATACACAAATGTTTGACCAAGTCATATCATATTGAATAGCAGGGCAGGCTTATCGGGCATCCTTCTGACCCAGTGTTCTGAAAGTCAAGATCTGGAATCTCGTTCCCAGTGGCTTTTTCTTCCCAGAGCTGTTTGGCAGATTTTTGTTAAATTTGTGGTGGCAGAATTTGACTCCTTTATCTGTCTAACAGGTAGTACTGCCGATAATGCTGAAGATGCTTGTTCAGTTATTGGCTGTGATGTTACAAGCTTCAGAACTTTGCTAACTCTTCACTAAATGAATGAACAAGAGATAAACTATTACCCACAGCAATTAACCCTGAGTGGAACAATCTGTTCAAGAATGAAGGCAAGATGTTACACAGAGACTCAAGCAATTAGCCATGTCTTGGTGAGATTACATTAAAAAAAGCTGTGTTGACAGCTGCCTGATAAATTGGATACTTTTATCACCACAAAGATCAATTAAGTGCTCTGCAGAAGAATTTAAGAAGTTAATCACAGGAAAGCTGTGTCCTATCAATCCGACAGTCGAAGCCAAATGTAACGAAGAACAAACAAATTGCTTTTGATAAGAAAGCCAGCTGCAAACTTGCAGCAACTTGGAGATGCTGGAAATCAGTTCTGAAGAAGGGTCACTAGGCCCAAAACATTAACTCTGCTTTCTCTGAACAGGCACCACCTGACCTGCTGAGTTGGGAAGCTGGACAGATTAGAGAGTTTGGGTTGGTTAGACTTATGCTCATTGGAATTGAGAAGAAAGGGAGACTTTATTGAACATTTAGACTTAGAGTCATAGAGTCAAAGAGATATACAGCATGGAAACAGATCCTTTGGCCCAACTCATCTGTGCTGCCCAGGTATCCTAGATAAATCTAGTCCCGTTTGCCAGCATTTGGCCCATATCCCCCAAACACTTCCTATTCCTGTACCCATCCAGATGCCTTTTAAATGTTGTAATCGTACCAGCCTCCACCACTTCCTCTGGCAGCTCAGTCCATACACACACCACCCTCTGCGTGAAACATTTGTACCTAGGTCATTTTTAAATCTTTCCCCTCTCAGTTTAAACCTATGCCCTCTAGTTTTGGACTCCCCCACACTGGGGAAAAGACCTTGTCTATTTACCCAATCCATGCCCCTCATGATTTTATAAACCTCTATAAGGTCACCCCTAAGACTCCAACACTATAGGGAAAATAGCCCCAGCCTGTTCACCCTCACCCTGTAGCTCGAGCCCTCCAACCCTGGCAACATCCTTGTAAATCTTTTCTGAGCCCTTTTGAGTTTCACAACATCCTCCCTATAGCAGGGAGACCAGAATTGCAAGCAGTATTCCAAAAGTGGCCTAACCAATGTCCTGTACTGCCACAACATGACCTCCCAACTCCTATACTCAATGCCTTGGAGACAATAAGGACTGCAGACAATAGAAGCCAGAGTCAATAGATGTGAAGCTAGAAAAGCACAGCAGGTCACACAGCCTCCGAGGAGCAGGAAAGTTGACGTTTCAGGACTGGCTGTCTTGAAGAAGGGTTTCGGCCCGAAATGTTGACTTTCTTGCTCCTCGGATGCGGTCTGACTTGCTGTGTTTTTCCAGCTTCACTGCTATACTCAATGAACTGACCAATAACAGCAAGCGTATCAAATGCCTTCTTCAATATCCTATCGACTTGTGACTCCACTTTCAAGGAACTATGAACCTGCACTTAAGATCTCTTTGTTCAGCAATGCTCCCCAAGACCTTACCGTTAAGTGAATAAGCCCTGCCCTGATTTGCCTTTCCAAAATGCAGAACCTCACATCTATCTAAATTAAACTCCATCTGCCACTCCTTAACCCATTGGCCCATCTGATCAAGATCCCATTGTACTCTGAGGTAACCTTCTTCACTGTTCATTACACCTCCAATTTTAGTGTCATCTGCAAACTTACTAACCCTAACTCCTATGTTCACATCCAAATCATTTAAAACAATGATGAAAAGCAGTGGACCCAGCACCGATCCTTGTGGCACATTGTTGGTCACAGGCCTCCAGTATGAAAAGCAACCCTCCATCACCACCACCACCCTCTGTCTTCTACCTTCGAGCCAGTTCTGTATACAAATGGCTCGTTGCCCCTGTATTCCATGTGATCTAACCTTGATAACCAATGTACCATGCAGAACCTGGTCAAATGCCTTACTGGAATCCATGTAGATCACATCCAACACTTTGCCCTCATCAATCCTTTTCATTACTTCTTCAAAAAACTCAATCAAGCCTTTCAAACTGATTTCCCATGCACAAAGCCATGTTGACTATCTCTAATCAGTCCTTGCGTTTCCAAATACATGTACATCCTGTCCCTCAGGATTTCCTCCAACAACTTGCCCACCACTGATGGCAGGCCCACCGGTCTATAGTTCTCTGGTTTTTCCTTACCAACCTTCTTAAACAGTGATGCCATGTTAGCCAAACTCCAGTCTTCCGGCACCTCACCTATGGCTATTGATGATACAAATATCTCAACAAGGGGACCAGCAATCTCTTCCCTACCTTCCTGCAGAATTCTATGGTACACCTGATCAGGTCCTGAGGATTTATCTACCTTATGCATTTTAAGCCATCCAGCACCTCCTCCTCTGTAATATGGACATTTTTTTAAATGTCGTTATTTATTTCCCCACATTCTAGATCTTCCATATCCTTCTCCATAGCAAACACTAATGCAAAATACACTTTTAGTATCTCCCCCATCTCCTGTGCTTCCACACAAAGGCATCCCTACTGCTCTTTAAAGGGCTCTATTCTTTCCCTAGTTTTGGCCTTAATGTATTTATAAAATCCCTTTGGATTCCCCTTAACCGTATATGCCAGAGTGATCTCCTGTCCCCCGTCTCCCCTCCTGATATCTCTCTTAAGTATACTCCTACTGACAGGGATGTGGAGAAGTGTTTCCTTTTGTGGGAAAGTTTAGGACCAGAGGGCATAACCTCATAGTAAGGTGTCACCCAGTTAAGATACAAATAGGGGGGAATTTTTTCGTTCAGAGAATGGTAAATTTGCATTTCTTTTAGAGCTTTCAAGGGTGAGATAGACAGTTTTATTTAAAATCAGTTTGGTAGCCAAGAGTTGTAGGGTAAAGTCGGGATAGTGAAGTTGAGTACTATCAGATCAAGCATGATCTCAGTGAATGGCTTACTCCCTCATATATCTTATGGTCTATGAATTTCGTCAGCTGTCATTTGGTCTTCAGCTATAACTTCAAAACTCTTTCAGCTATCTCAACACATGTGCTGTTTTAAAGATAAATTCTGTTGTTCCAGAAAAACTCTACCCTCCAATAAACATTGTGATAAACAAAAGCACTGATGAAGTAAAATGGGAACTTCTAGAAATGGATGTTCCAGACTTTTGTTACACCTATCAAATAAATATCACCAACTGGAGTGACCAAGTCCACGAGGTAAGAAAATAGCGTTCATCTTACTGGTAGTTGTAATATGAATGAGCCAAACTATTGTCTGCCATAGATGAAAACTAGCAATAATTCAAGCTGGCAGCTCACCACCATGTTCTGAAAGGGGTCTGGGTGTGCAGGCCGACAGATCACTGAAGGTGGCAGCGCAGATAGATGAGGTAATAAAAAAGACCTATGGCGTGCTTGCACACATTGGAAGGCGTATTGAGTATAAGGACAGACAAGTTATGCTGCAGCTTTATAGCACTTTAGTTAGGCCATACTTGGAATATTATGTAGTGTTCTGGTCACCACACTACCTGAAGGATGTGGATGCTTTGGAGAGGGTACAGAAAAGGTTTACCAGGATGTTGCCTAGTATGGGGGATTTTAGCTCTGAAGGAAGGCTGGATAGAAAGGATTTGATTTCACTGGAGCACAGGAGGTTGAGGGGCGACCTAACAGAAGTTTATAAGGTTGTGAATGGCATGGATAGAGTGGAAAGGATGAGATTTTTTTTCACAGGGTGGAGGGGTCAATTACTAGGGGACACAAGTTCAAGGTGCAGGGGGAAGTTTAAAAGAGACGTGTGAGGCAAATCTTTCACACAAAGGATGGTGAGTGCCTGAACCGTGCTGCCAGAGGAGGTGGTGGAAGCAGACACAATAACAGTATTCAAGAAACACCTGGATGATTACATGAATAGGAAGAGAATAGAGGGATAGTGAAGACAGTTTTAGTATGAAAGGGCAAGAGTGTCGGTGCAGGCTTGGAGGGCCAAAGGGCTTGTTCCAGTGCTGTCTTGTTGTTTGTTCTTTGTTACAGGGATAGGCAATAAATGCTGGCCAACTAGCAAAGTCCACATCCAGTGAAAATATAAAACAAATTACTGCCAGAGGAGTTGACACTGAATGTTACTCCCTTCTTAAAAATCCATTAATTAAGAAAGGGGTATGAGGAAGGAGTTGCTTATACCCAAAAGGAGTACATCATTTGCAGGGTCACTGGGCGTGAAACATTAACTCTGCTTTCTCTCTAGAGATGCTGCCTGACCTGCTGAGATTTTCCGACAATTTCTGTTTATTTCACATCATTTACAATATTTTGCTTTTATGATGCAGGCTTGCAATGCCATACTGATGAGGGATTTGTATAGGATAATACAGAATGTTCATTATTTTTCTTTGTGTAGAGAAGGATTATATTAACTGAATTCAGTGGGTCTGACAATGAATGTCACCAAAACCGAAATTCTGCAAAAGTTGGAAAATGAAAATTTGAATGTAAAATGAAAAAAAAACTCTATGAATAAGAAGAGTTTTCCATATGTACCTTGTCCAGTCCCTACATGATTTTGAGTATACATAGTCAATATCAACCTTCTCTTCTCCAGGAAATGGTCCCAACTTGTTCAATATCTTTCATTGATTTATTCAGGGATGTGGGTGTTGCTAGCTAATTGTCCATCCCGAATTGTCCTTGAGAAGGTGCAGTTAAGCCAGTTTTTTTTCTATTCATTTTGTGGGACATGGGCGTCGCTGGCTGTGCCAGTGTCTCTTAGCCATCCCTAGTTGCCCTTGGGAAGGTGGTGGTGAGCTGGTGGTGAGTTTCTTGAGCCACTGCCATTATCTGCATGAAGGGACATCCACAGCACCATTCCAGGGGGAATTCCAGGATTCTGAGCCAGTGGCAATGAAGGATCAGTGGCAATAAAGGATTAGTGATATTGTTCTAAATCACGATTGTGTATGGCTTGGAGTGGATCTTACAGGTGGTAGTCTCCCTATACATTTACTGCCCATATCCTTCTCAGTGACACATAGTATCTATCTACGTAACTGAAGTTGCTTATATCTGGAATTCCTGTGAATTTTCTCTGTACTTTGATTTGATTGATTATTGTCACATGTACTGAGATACAGTGAAAAATATTGTTTTGTGTACTATCCAGGCAAATCATATCTTATGTAATCACATCAGGATAATAGAACAGAATGCAGAATATAGTGTTACAGCTACAGGGAAGGTGCAGAGAAAGATCAACTTTAATATATGAAAGGCCCATTCATAAGCTGTGAAGAAGCTGTTCTTGAATCTGTTGGTGCATGTATTCAAACTTTTGTATATTTTGCCTGGCAGGAATGGATAAAAGAGAGTATAACCAGGGTGGAAGAGGTCTTTAATTAAGTTGACTGCTTTCCTGAGGCAGTGGGAAGTGTAGATTGAGTCAATGGAAGGAAGGCTGGTTTGCATGATGGACTGGGCCGTGTTCACAACTCTCTGTAATTTCTTGCTCCAATGCCTTCACATCCTTCCTAAGGTGTGGTGCCCAGAACTGGAGGTAATGCTCCAACTGTGGTTAGATCAGTGTTTTAATCTTTTATGTCTTAGTTTTACTACAGGGATGCCTCAGTCTGAACATTGAGCATTAGATGACATGGCTTCACCCAACGAATGGCTTGCCTTGTACAGAGCCATGTGCTGGAGTATAAGCTGTCTCAAACCTTTCCCCATTGCTCTCCATTTCCTCCTGTGAAAACAAAGTTAATGTGATGGAAAGAAAAATGTTTTTTTCACTCAGAGCATAGTTAGTGTGAGGAATGCACTACCTGGAAATGTGGTGGAGACAGGTTTAATTTAGGCATTCAAGAGTGCATTGGATGATATTATTTGTGGATAGAAATGGTGTGCATGGTTGTGGGGAAAAGACAGGAGATTGGCATTAGATAGTAGAGCTGGTGCAGGCACGATGGGCCAAATGGCCATCATAATGTTCTGATTCTGTCCTAAAAAGCAGGTAGCTACAAAAGCCCATGATGTCCTGCACTGTGTGTGTGGTGCATACTGTTCCTCAAGCACGGCAAATCCAAAATTAAAATCCCTTTAACAGAAGAGGGATTCTGAGTTTCAACAGGCACTTTGTTGTATTGTTGTTGTTGCGAAGTTGGATAGAGTATTTGATGCTTGTAAAATGATAGCGGGGAAGAGTGTGTGGTCCCTTTAAGAGATTATTGTTTTTTAGGCTTAGAGATTAAACAAAATGTCTGCAGGCAGCAGCAGAATTGCAGAGAGTTCTTGAAATTGAAACATTGTATGAAAAGGCTATACTGTTAGCAGGCAAAGCAGCATTTTTACCAAGACAAAAGGTTTTGAATTTAGTCAATTAGTTTAAATCAGGCCCTAGATACCAAAACCCAATTAAATTTAAATCTGATGGTTTTGACAACCTATGACCAATCCTATTGTAAGAAATTAATAGGTCATCAAGGGTATAAAGGAAGAGGGCATTTGATAATTGGTGTGAAAAGCAACTGTCATCTGCCAAGAGAATAGCTCTCAGCTGTAAAAGGAAGAATCACTGGCTCTCACAGAATTCTCTAAGCTCTCAGAAAACCATCATCTAAAGGTACAGCGGCACACTTAGCTAATATTCCTGACACAAGAATTTGACAAAGAAAGGTGTTGCTGACTAAGGATCAGTGGAGAAGGCACGGAGCAATCTGGAGGACTTCTCCTGGTTGTAATGTTGACAGACTAAGTTTTAATTTATTTTCTTATTACTCTGGCTTATATAAGTGGGGCTTGTATCTATTGGAACAGTATACTATTAGAATTTTGTTTTATTCTAGAATAGTTAGTAGTTAAGGGGGAATTGTTTGGTTTGTTAGTAGTTCTGTTACTTTGTTTACTGCTGGAGTTAGATAAATAAATTGTTACTTGTTGATTGTGAAGTATCAGGGATTTCTTTCATTTAACCATTCCCTTTAAAACAGATTGTGGGGTGGTGAGAGGTAGGTTATACCACTTTTCATGTTTCCTTTAACACATTATGAGGCAAAGCGAACTTCTTTGGGTGTTTCTGTTTTGGTTATCAGAGGGTTGGGGGGGGATTAGGGTTTGTAACATTGTTTTATAAATTTCTTTTTATTTATTTGCTCATGAAATATGGACATCACTAGCTGAGTCAGCATTTATTGCCTATTGCTAGAGGACAGTTAAGAGTCAACCACATTGCTGTGGGTCTGGAGTCACATGAAGGCCATGCCAAGTAAGGATGGTAGATTTCCTTCCATAGCGAATGAGGCGGGTTTTATGATAATCGGCTATTTTTATATGGTTGTCATTAGGCTAGATTTGTTTCTCAATTTCTAAAAAACTCAAATTCAAATTTAGATTGAAACCCATGTCCTCACTTCTAATATTACCACTACACCACAATTTTCCCCCATATTATTACACACAAGAAAGTGGAAGACAAAATTATGATGTTAAAGTTTCCCAACTAGTTTCAGTTGTTTAAAGTCTACTTTAGGAGATTTGTAAAGGGTTCTTATGCTGTAACATGGGTGTTCCTAATTCGAGGTGAGAAGGCCCATACATCCTACTTAGCATGAAGATGTGTCATGATGTGTCTGAACAGGCGTATTTTTGAAAAATAAACAGAGAGACTGCTGGAGAAACTCATCAGGTCTGGCAGCATCTGTGGAGAGAGAAACAGAGTTATTGTTTCGAGTCCAGTATGTCTCTGCTGAGTTTCTCCAGCATTGTGTTAATTTCAGATTTCCAGTAATCTTCCCCCATTAAAAAAAAATGATCTTAAGGTAAATTACTGTTGTCAGATACAACATGTTACGCATTTGTAACCAATTTGTTTGTTTTAGGTGCTAGAAGTGAAAAGTGCAAAATATGTCATCAGTCGAGATCATGGGAAAAGATATTCAGTGAAAGTCAGGGCAATAGTGAACGAAAACTGCTACCAAAGCTCTCTCTGGAGTGAATGGAGTAAGCCCCTCAATATTGGTAAGATCATTGCTTTAGGTGAACCTTATTAAATCACAGTAATACAATGCATTTGTCTAGTTTTTAAACTTAAGAGGGTTCAGAAAAGGTTTGCAAGGATGTTACCAGTGTTGGAAAGTTTGAGCTGTAAGGAGAGGCTGAATAAGCTGGGCCTATTTTCCCTGGAACATCGGAGTCTGAGGGGTGACCATATAGAGTTTTACAAAATCATGAGGGGCATGGATAGGGTGAATAGCCAAGGTTTTTTTTCCCAGAGTAGGGGAGTCCAAAACTAGAGGACATAGGCTTAAGGTGAAAGGGGAAAGATTTAAAAGGGACCTAAGGGGTAGCTTTTTCAGGCAGAGGGTGGTGCGTGTATGGAATAAGCTGCCAGAGGAAGTGGCGGAGGCTGGTACAATTACAACATTTAAAAGGCATCTGGATGGGTACATGAATAGAAAGGGTTTAGAGGGATATGGGCCAAATTTGATAAGTGGGGCTAGATTAATTTAGGATACCTGGTCGTCATGGATGAGTTGAACCAAAGGGTCTGTTTCTATGCTGTAAAATTCTATGACTCTATGACGCTGGTGCTTTTGACACAGAGTCTGGAAGTAACAATGGTACAGACAAGGATTTCAGCAGTAGGTGGGTCAAGGCAGGAGTCGGGACATGCAACGTTACAAAGGTAGAAATAGACAGTCATTGCCTGTTGAGGGGTTGGAAGATCCCACTAGCATTGGCAAGGATTGAAAATGACTTGCTCTGAAGAACAATCATTAGACTCAAAACATTCAGTCTATTTCTCCATTCACAGTAGTCACCACAACTACTGAGTTCTTCAAGCACTTCCAGTTTTTACGTTTTGAAAATTATGCGGTGGCTGAGGAGGAATTGTTGGAACAGACAGCTCAAACGAGGAGTGTATGCTCCGTGATCCTGTCCTGTCCATCACACTGCGCTGGATTGTGATTTCTCTGCCAGAATAAACCTTGAAACTAAAATGTTACCTCTCAGATATCAACAAGCCCAAATGCGGCTAGTGCTCAGCTGTGCATTCCCCTTGTTTTTGAGACTTATCTCTACTTGTTTTGTTTATTTGTTACTCGGTAAACATTTAACCAGTTATATTAAGTTATAATTCCTATATTATACATTGTATTAAGTATGTTACCTTCATTTTGTATTCTTCTCATTGTCCCTGTGTTCCTTTGAGTTCACAGTGTTCAATTAAAGGTTAAAAAAAGGAGGAAAGTTTGGAAGGGTATCTGATCTTGACACATGGATGATGCCAATGAGTAAAGGAATATTGTCTTCTTGCTTTCAGAGCCAGAAATAAAGAATTTACCCCTTTCAACAATTATAGCAGTGGTCATGGTTAATTTTAGCCTAATGGTATTGGTGCCGATATTCATCTGTACAAAGTAAGTTATTCCTCTGGTTGCATTTATTAATTGTAGATTAGTCCATTATCAAAGGAGCCCAAAGCAAGGGGTTTTGCCTTCATGTCCTTACCTTTGAGCCAGTGGTCCCATCTACCACAGGGGTGTGTCGTAACATGTCTGAACAGGTTGATACTTTTTTCTGAGAAGGAACCAATTCAGCTTATTGCACCTGCAGTAATCTAGCTAGGCCCAATCCCTTGCTCAGTCCCCATATTTCTCCCCTGCAGAGGCACATGGAAACATTGAAAATAGGTGCTGGAGTAGGCCATTCTGCCCATCAAGCCTGTACCATGGCTGATTATGCAATTTCAGTATCTCACTCCTGCCTTTTCTCCATACCCCTTGATCCCTTGAGCAGCAAAGAACACTTCCAGAGGTAGTAGGAACTGCAGATGCTGGAGAATCTGAGATAACAAGGTGTAGAGCTGGATGAACACAGCAGGCCAAGCAGCATCAGAGGAGCAGGAAGGCTGACGTTTCGGGCCTAGACCCTTCT